GGTGACTCATTAAAACCTTGTCAAGTAACAAAATACAATAGGTAATAAAATAAAATTTGGTCAAAGGAAAAAAGAGAGATTAACACACCAATGTAATTGATGATAAATGAATATGTCAAGACCCCCCCTACTATTATGGTTTCTTTCATGACAAGTATATACTCCTATAAGAAAATACAATGAGGTCAAGGAATATTCATCATTGACAAAACTGAAATCAAATTATTTTGTGTTAGAGTGATATTTTTTACGTTCCCATTCTTTTAGGGATAGTATTATCCAAGATAGGTTGTTGTCCCCAATCGCAAATTATACCGTGGGATCGGTACACCATGTGCATGGTCTACCTATCCCAATACGGTACCGTTTCAATAATTAAAAACAACCTTTTCTCTCCTTCGACCGTTTCTTCTCCAGCACCGTTCCTTCCCCCAGATTTTTTTATTATTCGCATGCTTCCACTAATTTTTCTTCCCTGCTTCCCCTCCCTTTTCTCTTGCCCTTCTTTTTGAACCGATTCCCTTTCTTCTTAACTCCCTTTCTTTTTATTTTCCAATTATCTTCATCTCCATTATTAAAATATTGAAAATAATATTGCAATTACTTTTCTATAAAACAATTTCTTATCTCTTTTATTGGTTTTAGTTGCAATATTTCATATATATATATAATATTTCTTATCTCTTTTATATGTTTTTAAGACATAAAGTTTGTTTATTTCGACTTACATTTGATAAACGTGTGTGGTTTACATTTCTACATGTCTAAGTTATGTTTATAGACAATTTCTCGAATTACATTTGATAGTATATGAAGTTACATCTTCTTGTACGTGAATTACATCTTTTTATGCGTGAATTACATCTTTTTATGCGTGAGTTACATCTTCGTATACGCGAGTTACATTTAGACTTGTCTTAACAAGTTACATTTTGCATACACCTAAATTAGATTTTCCATCAACGCGAGTTACATTTTCTATAACATGAATTACATAACATTATAAAGCCCTGTTGTTCAAACAAAACAATCAGTTTTACGCAAAAAATTGCAAAAAAGGCAAAAAAACTGTTTTTAAAATATTTTTATGGCCTTGATATAAAAAACAGAACATATTCACTATTTAAGTAATCCCCTCCTATTGAAACAAAAATCATTTTTTAAAAAAATGATTTTTTTGGTGAAAATTAATGATTTTTTGGGAAAATTAATGATTTTAACAAAAAAATATTATTTATGGTCTTAATATTAAAAACAAAACATATTCACTATTTACTTAAAGTCATTGAACAATTAGATTCCTTATTTTCATTGAAATCAATGTTATATTTCTTATAATCCGTATTAGACAAGTTACATTTCGACTTGCCTGCAGTTACATTTTTATCGGCGTGAGTTACATATCTTTACACGCGAGTTACATCATTCATGCTACCGGAACAAAATGAAAAAAAAAATTACTGTACACGCGTGTACTGTTCACGCGATTTTTTTTTTTAAAATTGTGCAAAACTACGTCATTTTGAGGGTGGAACATGATGCTCACCGTGGGATGATTACACGGTATACGAACTGGTCCCCAATGGACTAAATCAGTCCCTTTAACTAGATCAGTTCTCTACATATATATATATATATATATATATACATTGTAAATAAGGTGTTGTCCTTGATCAAAATAGTGAATAAAATATACACCACTCTCGAATAATGGGTTGTTGACTTGTTGTGTCGAAGTCGGACGATCCACTTTTGTGTTTTTGATTTTGTTTTTTTAATTTCTAAAGTTTTACTTTTGTATTAAGTATTAACCTTAAAAATTGGCATTCTTTACATATTACGGAGTACTACACATCTGTATAACAACAGTAATCTTATCCAAACTCCACAAAATGGTGTTTCATTTAAATTAAAAATTTTAAGAATTTATTTTTTAGTATTCATAAATTATAAGAATAATTTTTAAGATTAGTACTTTATTGAAAGATACTTTTCCGCGATGAACATTATGAAGTCAAGTTTGTGTATAGGAATTGGTAACCAATTTTTTAATGATTGTCTCATATACCATGCAACCGGTGGGTGAACTTTCTTATTTTTTATTTCTTCTTTTCTTAAACATGTTAATATTTTTTTTTTATCCGATTTTTATAAAATTTATATCAAAATTTTTTACTTTTCATGATCTTCCAAATGAGACCAATATTGCTTATGTAATTTTAACATATTAACATTTGCGTGTAAAAATATGTAACTTTACGCGTTAAAATATGTAACTCACGTTCAGTCAGGCCAAATGCAACTCGTGTGTATAAATATGTAACTCTACGTGTAAAAATATGTAACTTTACGTAAAAAAATATGTAACTCGCGTTCAGACAGGTCAAATGCAACTCGTGTGTATAAATATGTAACTAGGGGTGGACCGGTTCCGGTTCGGGCCCAGTTCGGGCCTGGGCCTGGACGGGTCTCGGTTCATTTAATTTTTTTTTTTTGGCTTTTTCTAATTAACCCCCAACCCTCCCCCCTCACCCCCAAACCACCCCAAACCACCTCAAATGGCCCATCATACCCAGCCCAACTCAAAAACTTAAAAAAAATTCAAAAAATAAATAAATAGCCGGGCCGGTTCACTATTTAGCAGGCCCGGGCTCGAACCACCTACCTCACCGGGCCGGGTGGCCCGAACCGGGCACCAACCGGTTCACCGGGCCGGTCCGGGCCCGCACAGTAGCGGGCCGGGCCGGTTCCGGGCCGGTTGGTCCGGTTCCGGGCCGGTTGGTCCGGTTCCGGGCCGGTTGGTCCGGTTCCGGGCCGGTTGGTCCGGCCCGAGTCCACTCCTATATGTAACTCGCGTGTATAAATATGTAACTTTACGTGTAAAAATATGTAACTTGACGTGTAAATATATGTAACTCGCGTTCAGGCAGGTCAAATGCAACTCGTGTATATATATGTAACTCGCGTGTAGAAATATGTAACTTTACATGTAAAAATATGTAACTTCACATATAAAACTATGTAACTCACATGTATAAATACCTAATACAATAAATTTTTTATATACACAATTTTAAGATAAATTGTGATTTACACAATTATTTTTCTGTATTAAATTTAGTTCGGTTTTCCTTATAATCCAATAATCATTTATATAATAGTTCCATAATTTGTTAAAATTGAGTTTTTTTCGAATTAATGCTAATTAATTAATTAATTACGAAAATAATGTTGGGTTAAAAGTATTTACGGATCTACTGCTGGGTTTAACCGTGGTCAGGGAAAGTCGCCCAACGGTTGGGCGACTTATAAGTCGCCAAACGGTTTGGCGACTTATAAGTCACCCAACCGTTGGGCGACTTTCCCTTTAGATTTTTATAATATAATAATACAATAATCTAATAAGAATATTTAAATAATAGGAGTTTTTTTCGAATTGGTTTTTGAATATTTAAATAATAGGAGTTATTTAAATAATAGGAGTTTTAGAAGAGAACATACGTAAAATGTTGTAAATTGTTCCTACAACATACTGCAATACAAAAGGCAAACTACAAGTTCTCATGGTCATCTTGATCATCTTGGTCATGGAGATGTTGCTGCTGATGTCTACGCCTATGCCGTGATCGTGGTTGAAGAACTACTCTCTCATGCTGCATCTGGGATGATTGCACTTTTGACCACTCAAGAAACGACCACACCCATAAAAAATTTTCCCCCTGTTTTTGTCTGTTGTAGCAGTCCACACTGGTGCTTGGAGTCCACAGTCACACCTCTTAATTCGCCTTGTTGCATCCATCGACCAGGACTCAGCACTCGAAGAACTCATCGCACCTTAATTTTTTTAGCATTAATAAAGTTTAAATTATCATTTCCACTCTTAATTCGTTAATACGTGTGGATTTAAATGAAGATTTCTTTGTTATCTCACCTTAAATTTTTTAGCATTAATAAAGTTCAAAAAATTAACAAACTTCAATTCATACCTCCAAATCTACATTACATAACAAAGTTCAAAAAAAATTATATAACAATGAATTCAACATCAACATACAACACTTCATACATATTCACATTACACAACAAATCAATTCACAAATGAATTCCTAATTCACAAATTCCAATTTTCTATATTCTAAACCCTAAAATGAAAAATGAGATAAATTGGAGATATTTGTTTACCTAGAGTGTTGAAGAAGATGAAAGGAAAGTAGTATTGACAAGATATGGAGGCCTTGTCGTCGCTCGCCGGAGATTAACCTTCGCCGGAGTCAGGGGGAGGTGTGTCGCCGCACTTCGCCGGAGTCAAGGGGAGGTGTGTCGCCGCACTTCGCCGGAGTCAGGGGAGCTGCAGAGGGTTTGGGAGTTTTGGGGATTTGGGGGAAATGTTGCGTTCTGTCCGAACCCGACTTATGTTTAAGGGGTAAGTCGCCCAACGGTTGGGTTAAACCTAGCCGTAGATCCGTAAATACTTTTAACCCAACATTATTTTTGTAATTAATTAATTAATTAGCATTAATTCGAAAAAAACTCGTTAAAATTACATAAACAATATTGATCTCATTTGATAGATCATGAAAAAAAAAATAATATAAAATTTATAAAAATTGGATATGAAATAAAAAAGTTATTACAATTTTTAACAATAAAAGAAATAAAAATAATGTAACCGGGCCACAATACTCCGTCATTTTGCAACTGGTTGCACGATATAATCTGCGATTAAAAACATGTGCTTGATATGGTTGCAACTTACAAGCAATGCATCATTTTTTAAAAAATGAAAATCCATAAGGCAAGTGCAATAAAATATACTCCATAATATTTTGTATTCCAGTAATATTGGACTACTTTATCTTTTGAAGTTAATTTATATTTAATTGTTCAAAAAAAATTCTCATTCTCGTCATTAGTGCCCCAATAGTTGAAGTATCTAAATTCACCCCTAGTATTATCACCAATTGTTCAATTCAATTCATAATTTATAAAAGATGAATAGAGGTTATGCCAATGTTTTCATTTAGATACCAAAGTACATTCTTGATAATATTTCAATGACAATGAACGTTGTGTCGGCGCTGAGCAATTTTTCAGCTAACACATTGTTGTGACTAATAAATCTAAATCCTCCCAAGTCCCAACATTCAAATTTATTTCTGCCATATAAATGTTTTCGTAATGTTTGGATGTGCAATACCGATCTAACTTGGTACAAGGTTTTCTATCTTTTAGTTTTTAATCAAATTATGTCTATCAAACCCTGAACATTATGGATGGATTAACTGATTAAGCAGCAATCCAGACTTGTTGAAAGAAGATGAACTCTACAATAGCGCTTGCCATGAGTCACTAGAGGTGCAGACAAGAAAGGATGAACTGTTAACATATCTGCCTAGCTGCTTATGAATATCTTCCATCCAATGTTGGTTTAGAAAACACCAGCTCAGCCCTCTTTAGAACTAGGCCGCCACAAAATCTCTCTGCATTAAAGAATTACAATTGATCAATAGATTCACCCAAAAGTGGCTAAGAGGTTCGCAAAATCCTAAGGTATACGACTTTCATCGAAAGAGTAGGTTCCTAACGTTTCAGCTGCTATTTCACTTTTTCCCCTTTTCTTTCCAGTTAGTACCAAAATAAATTGGGAGTTCGCTACAAATGGCATCAGAGGTTTGCTGTTTGATTGAAGATCATCTGAATAATCACTCTATTGGAGCTATTTTTGTGGAAAAGGATGAGGCTCTAAGAGGGGGTTCCGGTGGGAGCAAAGCGCATCATGATTTATCAAAACGTGGGAAGCCTATGGCTGTGACTGGGAGGATAAAGAGTCCCTAAAACACCAGCTTTTTGACATGTGTGAAAGAGGAAGACAGCAGATTATAATTCTATTAGTGAATTTTTTAACATAGATATTGCATTGAAAAAGATGGAACAACCAATTAAGCAGTGCCTGAACTTGTTGAAATAAGATAGGGGTAGAGCTACAAAGAACTTACTATGAGCCACTAGAGGTGTATAGGAGGAAAGCTGAACTGTTTGTATAGCTAGATATGAATTTCTTCCCGGTTGAAGTTGGTTGGGAAAATGCCAACTCAGCCCGCTCTAGAACTAGACCATCACAGCAGCTAATCCTGCACCAAACAATAAAATTGATTAACAAAATTCACTAAAAAGAGGATAAAGTGTGAGAAGGGTTGAATGGTATTCAATTTTGACGGGAAGTCCATGACAGTTTTTCCATAGCATAAAGAACTCGACTACTTGAAGCAAGAAATTACAAACAAGGAAAATAAATGGAAACCTTCATTTTGATTGGTTCAAGATTGCACAAAAAGTTTCACTCTCACTGAGGGAACTGGGGCATTTTATCGTGATTGATTGCAAACAGTTGGTAAGCTCATTGATGGGAACCTCAATATCCAAGTGAAAACAGTAAACTCACACTACAAATCTGATAAGGTAATAGGGAAGTTGATGTTTATTGATAAGAAATATCTCAACGTAGGCAACAAGGCAACCGGACTATTCGAGAAGCCCACTCTCCAAGGCAACACCCAAATCAAATAACAGCCTACCTTCTTTTGATATCCCCCCTTCTATTTATAGTATTATCCACGCAGGGATTAATAAGGCTACTAGCCCACTAGTTACTTATTATTAGACCCCTTATTCCTCTCCTTCCCCTTCTATTTATACTACTAAATGTACCCTTACTATTATTATTATTATTATTTCTTATTATTAGCCTACTAAGCCATATTCCTATCAATACTCCCCCCTAAACAACGACCTTGTCCTCAAGGTGGGTGATAGGAAACAGCCATGATCTTCCACTTTCACTTCATCCTGGCACCTCTTCCTTCCCAATACCTCACAGCTTGCTTGACCATGACCTTCATTACTTGACCTTTCATCTTTACATCTTTCACAGCAAACATGGGCAAAAACTGGATATAAGAACTCCCTGGGATTACACTTGAAGCCTCTTCTTTGTAACCAATATCATCATATAAAGGTTCTGCAAGATAAAATCCAGCTGCCCTTGTAGTAATTTCAGCTGCTACATCATAGAGAACCGCAGCAACTTGCTTACCCAGATCTTCATCATAATTCAGCAGTATCTTCCCTAAAATAGAAATAATCTGAGGAGTTTCATCTCTAAAGGGATCACATAGCAAACAAATTATAACCTTTTTAAGAACACCCATCCGAACTTGAAATGTTCTCTCAGTAGACCTCTTTCGGACTTCCATAAATACTAGATAAAAAGCCTCCTGGATCTCACATTTGGATATAGCAAAGAGGCCCCTGAGCAAGCTAATCACGTCTAGCCGTGTATTCAACTCATCCGTCTCCTCTTTGGGTTGCATCATAGGAGAATTACAAGTGTAGACTGCCCATTGATAAGCTCCATAGAGATTTTTCATTCCATCCAGCAATTCTATAGCAACTTTGATATTATTAACAACATCTGTTTTGAAAGATAAATCCATGAGGTGCTCGTTATTGGAGACATCAACTCCTGCAGCCTGGATAGTAGAGTCCTGATCCATACTGATTCCACCTGACTGGTATTCAAGCACAAACTCATCAGCCCTTTTTCAGTCCCGAATCAGAAAGTACCAAATTGCAGTTCTTTATGGCCACCCTGTACTTGACATCTGAATGAGTGGAAATTGATCCTTCAATTGCACTAATCTGTGGATCATTCCTTACCCCTTTATTTTCCCAGGTATTCAAGACTAAGACAATATGTGCACCCAAAGGAGCTTGGCCTTGTCCTTCAACATCCACAACAGTCAAGTCCATAAAGTCAATAACACTGGTTTTATCTTTGGTATCCCCAGTCTTTACCCGAAACAATTCCCATGAACGTGCACCCATCTTCCCGCCAATATCATACAACTGAATAGATTCTTCCCACGAACCCATTTGCTCTAGACTACTTGCATCATCCTGAAACTTTGGTTGAACCTCAACAGCCCCCTCAGTTGATCGGTTACAAGCATTAGTCCCTTTCGGGTACATACCTTGAGATGTAGGAGTTGACTCCCCAGCTTGGTTTATCTTGACTTGATACCATACCCAAGGGAAGTGCTTTGACTTCTGAGTATACTCATAAGCCCTGTTAACTTGTAGAAGCCCTTCTCCGTAGATTAACTTTTCTTCTTGCAAAGATCCCACCAGAGTATCTGTATTTTCTAGAGCCTTCCATGCACTGTTCAGGTTCACGAAAATGCCTTCAGTCTTCATGCCACTTATCAGTAGACCAACTGCACCCCAAGCCGAATGAGATGACATAGATGTCCCATTCATCAATTGGCCTCGTGGAAGGGTGCCCGTAAGAACTGGAGCCACACCTTTCCTAGTCATCCTTGTTGAGACCCCAACATCTCCATCAGTAGTTGGCCCTACTGGACCAAGTGCACTCAAGACCTTTAGAAGGAGACTGAGCCAACAAGTGAGTCTCAACAGCCATAGCAGGGGAGACATTATCCAGTGCGCTAGCTTCAGGTCCAGCTGCAACTGTGAATTGCTCCTTACGATCATCATAGTCCTCTTGTGAACGCATCCTCAACGGATGGTTGACTCCAGTTAATAGGCTGACCGAGCGATGGAATTGATGGATTGTGATAAGCAGATTCTTCACAAATAGAAGCCAGAATAGCGTGTCCAACATGAGGTTCAGTACGAGAGTTCTTAGAAGTGAATTGTGAGAAAATTTCCCAGCCAACCAGATCTGGTTGAACCCTTCAAATCACAGCTACCGGGAAAGACTCTAAGTTACGTTCATCTGTAACAACAGTGTATGAGCTGAGGATTCCCTCCAACTTCTTGGTAGGCTTTACTATTTCAATTCCTGACACATGTCCAAGAGGACAATTCACTTTCGCACCCATTGCAAAATCCCCCCTGGTACAAAGACTGTCAACAGTAATCACCCTCTCCTTTTCTTCCCTCACAAACTTATCATCTGAATTAGTGATGACTAGTCCTTCTAAGGCACTAGTCTGTGAATTATCTTTCATCACTTGCTTTTCCAAAACAGGAGGCTCCACTTGGACTGGTTCTAATTTACCTGAACACCTTTCATTGTCTTCCTTCACAAGCATGTTCACATCATTCTGAATAGTTGATGGAGATTCCGTAGGTTCAACAGTATCCTCGTCATGCTCCAATTCCGGGACTGGTGATGCAACATACAAGCCCTTTTCAGATTCTACAGGGTAGATGGTTCTGGATGCGGAGGACACTTGCGCTCTGGGAGAAGCCAATGGCGACCAACCCTGTGTACTGAGAATAGTCGTTCGCGAATGCGAACTGGGAAAAGTGGTTCGCATCTGCGAACTGGGAGAAATAAAGGACGATGTTGATTGCGAAGACTTCTGCGAACTGGAAGGATAAGATAGCGTCGAACTCTGCGATTTCAAACTGAGAGAGGAAGTTCGCGACTGAACCTGCGCACTTCGCGTTGCACTGGAAGACTTAGTTCGCATCTGCGAACTGTTAGAAGCCGGACGATGCGATGATCGTGATCTTCCCCTTTGTTCCTTCTTTGCGGCGATAGATGCTGAAATCGCTGCCATAGAATCCGCGATGCAGTTCTGAATCTGTGCTGCCATGGAAGCCGCAATGTTTGTCATAGCCGTCTTCATCTCCAGTTCGAACTTATCCATGCGAGCCTCTATTTCTGGTGTACAGACTTCTTCCATAGCTCCAGGTAGTTAATAATCTCGATCGATACAGATGATAAGTCGCCACTTCAATCCGATCCCCAGGAGCAACTGCTCTGATACCATTGATGGGAACCTCAATAATCCAAGTGAAAACAGTAAACTCGCACTACAAATCTGATAAGGAATTAGGGAAGTTGATGTTTATTGATAAGAAATACCTCAACGTAGGCAACAAGGCAACCAGGACTATTCGAGAAGCCCACTCTCCAAGGCAACACCCAAATCAAATAACAGCCTACCATCTTTTGATATCCCCCCTTCTATTTATAGTATTATGCACGCAGGGATTAATAAGGCTACTAGCCCACTAGTTACTTATTATTAGATCCCTTATTCCTCCCCTTCCCCTTCTATTTATAGTACTAAATGTACCCTTACTATTAATATTATTTCTTATTATTGGCCTACTAAGCCATATTCCTATCACTCATTCATCTTTTTCAAGTGTAGAGACTATATAAAGATCCATTATGTACAAGTTAAATAGCCCATATAATCATACGAGGTAAACAGTGGATAAATATGCATGTACTATTTGACTTGATTTGCTCAATCCGTACAAATATACCCCACAAATGTACATGCTTTGTAAAACAAACTATAAATGAAACCACATGAGTTGTTAGACATTTTCAAGATTTTTTGGGGAGCGGGTGGTAGAGGGGGATCCAAATAGAAGGGATATGTACCCCTTTAAGAAAAAATTTGAATGTCAATACAAAAACCGAAGCTAATGAATAAGGCATTTGTGAATAAGATATTACCTAGCAGCATCTAGCAAACAACTAGCAATGTGTTTTCTTCTGTTGGAAGGACTAACCCAAATGGCTCTAATGCCACATGAAGCAGGTACAGCTTCCTCCTCACACAAGATAACCCCAAATCCTTCATCTGAACCTTCGAGTCTTTCCTTAGAGGGGTCTTTTCTTACTTTTTCCCGTTGAAAACAGACTCCCCCAAATTGCAAAACTGAAGATTTCTGGTATACTTCCGTTTTAGCCGAATTATTTGACCCATTTCCTGATGAACTAGACACAAATCTATAGGCCGTGGTTATTGGTTCTACTATCACACAGCCAGCAATTCTTCCAAAGGTTATAAATAAGTACACCTGTAATTAGACAGTGCATTGAAAATGCTTCGTTCAGAAAACTATGTTCAAGTGTTCAGGTCATCATTTTCATTTCATTTTCATTTACCCCAGTGCCGCAAAGGCTCCCACCTACGGTGGGGTAAGGGGGGGTCGGATGTACGCAGTCTTACCCCTATACTAAAGCACAGAGAGACTGTTTCCGGATGACCCATAGTGAAAATCGCGTCCAAAATTGCATGGACTGACTGCTGCTTCATTACAAAGAAGCGCATACAGTTTAGTGAGCCATTTTGCTTTATTCCATCATAATCTCAAGCCAAAAAATAATGAATCTTTGGCTCCAGCATACAGTTCAAGTGTTAAGGTCATGGAAGAACAAATTACAAAACATGATGTAATTTCTGGAGTGGTATTGATAAGATATGAGTACACACAATCTGAGTATTGAGAACAAATCTTCATTCTTATAGCAACGATAACTACTAAATAAGTTGTTTTTTACCTTGCACTGTTGATGATATATCCACCCATCTCCAAGTTCTATCTCCATCATTTTAATAACTTCCAGAACCTGAAAAAATATGTTATAACCTTTAAAGTTAACCGTTTTGCTAATAAACTAGTGAAAACTAGTGCTTGTTGTGAAAACAAAGATTTATGCCATAATAGATTAAGTAAAAACAACAAGTTTACTTTATTCCTCCATGGAGAAGGGTCGTCATTTAACACCATGATAATGCGTCCAGTTTCAGAAGAAGTCGGAATAATTCTTTCATTTTGCCAGCCCTGCTAAGTAAATATCAGCAGTGAATATATGCATGGTGTTCACAGAGAAAAATAATTAATTTGAATATAAAAAAAATTGAACACCTACAACCTTAAATGGGATCCCTCGAGTGTAATTCCTGTGAATTGTCTGGTGAACCTTCTCATCCCCTTTGTTACCAGTGGCATACTGAAAGCTGCATACATTGCAAGTGTGCAACAGGAAATCAGACTGACCCAATTCCAAATGAAATTGAGCATAGTTTCTTTTCCTAATCAAATTTTGAGGCGGAACCAATGTCACAGTTGAACTCCTTGACGCAATATCCTGGGGTGGTTCACCATTTGATCCATCCCTGCTATCACCAAAAATCAAGTATTCATATAGCCGAACAGTCAAGGAAAGAGTAAACGATTACTATCAGCACAATTCGAGCATATATGCTTTATTAAGAAATAAGTTTTCAAGAAGACTAAACAAATACAGAATGACACGGTACTTGATTTGGAATAAAGGTCAAAAACTGACCAAAAAGCACATAAGATTGTGACTATGGGACATGTTCCCTGCTATGAGCAGACTAATGTAGTATACTTGAAATTGGAAATGAAATGAATAAATTATACCACCAAATAAAATAAATTAGCCCATCACTTATAAAACAAGAACAAAATTATACTCATGTTAACAAAGCAACAGCAAGCACAGCCCAACAATAGTTACAAACAGGAACATAAAGGGAAAATTGAAATCACACACACACAAAACAAAATCTTTGAAGACCTGAAGTGGTGTGATTTAACAGAATGGTAGGAAAAGCTGGGCAATTCTAGAGCTCATACGGGAAAATAACAAAGACAGAGAACGTACCCCGGCTTGAAACTTTTACTCTTGTAAGTATTGGTGATATCAGGGCGTTCCAATTGTGCGGTCTCGCAATCAAGCAAATTGCCGGAGATCGAAGAAGAAGCGACGGTCTTGGAAATGCAGGGTTTGAAAAAAGTGTTTATTTTAGATTGCATTCTTCAAAACAATTCACTCCACGTATTCTTTCTTCCTTGCTTCAGAGTAAGGACAGATCACACTGTAATTCCCTTTCTTCTGCACAGGTATGAGCAAAACGTAAAAGGCCCATTCAATTGGAGGCAAAAGCATTCTGTCCCGTCAGAAATAAAATCTTCCCGCCAGCTGATTTGGGGATTTTGTCCTCACTTTTAACGTTAATAAATAAAGTAATAATTGATGGGTTAGGCCACAACGGCCCAAAATTGATGGTTCTGGTTGGGTTAGCTTGGGCTAATATAAAACAATTAATTGATGGGTTGGGTTTGACTGAGATTTTCTAATAAATTGTAGATCTAACCCGTTTACAATTACACGTTGTGCAATAAATATGCTAGGGGTTTTCTTCTATAAATAGCAATCATTTATTAGTTCATCACTACGCATCAAATGACAATGTTTTCTCTCATAGTATTACTGAAACAAATAAACAAATAGCAACAATATAACAAATTAATTTCAAATTTTCAGTAATTTGCAAACTGCAATTACAGAAATCCGAATATCATAGATAAATAGATTCTGAAATTCAAGTGCTATTGTGCTTAGTTGCTTACCCGCGGACGGCGTCAGTGGGGTTCAAGTAGTGCCGAGTGCGGAACTGCGGATGAGTGGACGACGGACGACAGGCGTGCGGGCTTGGAGGCAGGGCGCGGTGGCGGCGGAGCCGTGGCGAGCTGGCGCCGGTGGCTGGCGGTTCGGTCGTTCCAGACTTTCAGAGTTTCAGTCGAGACTCGGAGGTTAAAAAAAGGATTTGGATCCTCGATTTGGCCGCCAGGTAGGGTGCCTGGCGAATTTAGGCCGCAAGAATGCAAGATCCGATTTTTGCAGGTCCCAAAACCGTGCTTCTCCCTTTTCTGCCGTTGGATTTGCGCGAGAGGGAAGTTTGACAGATACTCCGTACTACGTATATGGGCAAAAAAAGAGAAGGTCTAAGTAAACAAATTGGTCAACTTTTGTGAATGATAAACTTTTTATTCTCTATTTTAGAATTCCTTACGTTTAATATTTTCACTATTGTGAAATTGACATTTGCAGCTGTTTTACTCTGATTTTGTCATCAAAAGTGAAGGTTTAAAGATGTCAATATCGTGATTATATTAGTTGTCTGCTAGCTCTTAACAAATTGAATCAGCAGATTGATATTAGTGGATTCCGTTGGCTTTTAAAACTAACTGCTTTCATTAGCGTTTGAAATAAAATGTTAGTAACTTAACTGTTTACGATTAAATGTCATGTAAGATAAGATGATCATTAAAGATATGAATTTAAAAGTATATACACTTATCTTAACTTTATTTTTTATTTTTTTAATTAATAGAAGTTCAGATAGGATGAATGAGGAAGAGGTATATTCTCATTGAACAAAAATGATGATTACAGAGAGTATTTATAGAGGTTACAGTACAACTGAAACTAAGTAACTAACTAAACATAACTAATACAATCCGTATAGTATATCTAACATTCCGCTCTCAAACATAGTGTGACTTTGCTGGAGATGCAATGACACTAAGTTTGTTTCTCAAATTAATAAAGGATGAAGCAGACAGGGGTTTTGTGAGAACATCAGCCAGTTGATATTGAGCAGGAATGTGGAACACTTGTAGTTGTTTCAGTTGAACTTTCTCTCTTACAAAAAATAGATCAATCTTCATGTGTTTGATACGAGAGTGAAGAACCGGGTTGTGTGCCAGTTGGACTGTACTTTGATTGTCACAGTATATTCTTGGAGTGGTAAAAGGAACCTTGAGTTCACTGAGAAGAAACTAAACCCAAAGAAGTTCAGCTGCAGTATCAGCCATGCTTCTGTACTCAGCTTCTGCTGAGGATCTAGCAACACACAATTGTTTCTTGGACCACCAAGAAATGATATTTGGACCAAGAAATGTGCACGATCAGAATGTGGTAAAGGATCTAAACTCACCTCCCCAATCAGATTGAAGAGATTTAATGGAAACAGAAAATTGGTTGAGAACATATTGGTAAAAGTTTTGAAATGCAGTAAGGGCATCAAATTTCTTTTTCAAAAAGTAAATCCAAGTATATCTTGTGTAAGCATCAATGAATGAAATATAGTAAGAGTATCCATCAAAAGATAACATGGGAGCTGGTCCCCAAAGATCAGTGAATATCAATTCAAATGGTGAATGAAAGATGGTAGTAGAGGGAAAAGATGGAAGTCTATGTGCTTTACCAAGACAACAAGAGGAGAAAAAATCAATATTATTTTTATTAGTAGAACTAACATTACAATGTTGCATTACAGATTTGAGAGCCTCAAAGTGAGGGTGGCCTAGCCTCAAATGCCACAAATTACAAGAAAGAATTATTACAAGACTGAACATAATTACATGACTTATTTTGAGACAAAGATTGACTGGAAACAAGAGCTGGAAGGGATTGAAACTTGTAGAGACCATCTGCACCTAGAATGCCATGTAGAAGGACCTTTTTAGAAGCCTGTGATTTAACAAAACACTCATGAGCATGAAACTCAAAGAAAACATTATTATCTCTTGCAAACTGACTAACACTTAGTAAGTTTTTGGTTATGGAAGGAACATGGAGAATGTTGTTAAGTAAGAGTGTATAAGAAGGATGAAAAGGAGAAGAAAAGGAAGAAAAACCAATCGACTTAATGTCCAAACCTTGACCATTGCCCATGAACAACTTGTCAGTTGTAGCAAGTGGCTCATTATGTTGAATGTTGAGAGGATCAGGGGTGACATGATGTGAAGCTCCAGAATCTGGAGACCAATTCTGAACATTAGGAGGTGGTCCTAGCAATGAAGTGTTTGCAGAATCCCAAGCTGCAATTGGAGTAGGTTGATTTTGAGATGATGATGAAAAATGATAATTGGCAGGCCCCCAATTTGTATTCACTACTACAAATATGAGATATTACGTCACACATATCACGTCTGTTTTTATAAAACAGTCGTTGTACTATATAAAATTTGTTTTAACGTCAGTTATTATTAATAACCGACGTAATAAGTTAAATTATAAAATGACGCATAGGCTTCTGACGACGGTCTTCTCAATAACCGACGTGTATTTTATTAATAATTAATAATAATAACAATACGGTAATTTATCTCGCCCCACCGCTCATTTACTCACATACTTCCTTCGTTTCTATCTCGTCTCTCAAACCTAAAGGCAGATCTGCACCGCTTAGTTTCTTCTCTCGTCCGGATGACGCCGCCGATCTTCTCGATGAAGCCGTCGGTCATTTTGAAGATGCCTTCGATCTCCCACGGGATCCGTAGGCGAACTGGTTCAATCCTCTAAAAGGTCGTAAAGGTGCTTAGCAGAAATGGCCTAACTCAGTCGACCTACACAGCCACACGGGTATTTCCACACGCACCGGACTCTCTTTGGCCTTTGAAATCTTTTGCAGCGCCGGTTCCTTGAAGCTCTGGTTATGCAGCTCAGGTTACACACAGTAGAAGAAAAAGCAATAACAGTAATCTTGAGCATCAGGTATCATATCAATAAACATCAATAAACATTCAATATTTACTTTTGATTTGAATTTCGAAAATTCTAATAATTAGAATATAGAGTTTGTTTTTAATACTATGAAACTGGTATTCTATTTGACACTTTTGGTGTTGATAGTATGTTCTGAACATTTTCTCCTTTGCTCCTAGGTTTTCATTCTTTGGAAGATTTCTTAGTATATGGAGAAAGATGAAGTCTACTCTGTATTTCGTAAGTTCTGTGATACCAAACACAAAACCCAATGCATTTGATTTTTTTGTTTTCAATATATTTCAGTTTTTAACGATTTCTCTTTGATTTGCAAGTCATATACAATTTGCAAATATTTGCACCTGCATCATGCACATATATAATTGGATGTAATGAATGTAATGTTTAGTTTTTTTTCCGAGAGTGAATTACCTTTGGTCACTAACCATTCTTTATAAAAGTAATTTACTTGTGGTTAACATTTATTTATTCAAATGTTAATCCTAACTAACTTTTACCTTCTTTACTTTCAGGCTTGAAATCCATTTGAAGTGCAAAACTACTGAGTGTATAAGATCTATATTATGGCATACTCAGTTTCAGTTTCATTACTTTGTACATGACATGAAAATATAATATCGAAGCTTGATTTGGTTAAATTAGAATATAACTTTTCAGTTTTGCCATTATAGAGTCCGCTAACATCCCACATATCAACATTGGCATAATTTCTATCATTTAGAACAAATGAAACTAAAACATAGGCATATAATAAACCAGTGAACAAATAGTTTATATCAGAATAGTTTTTAACTTATATACTTCGATGCTAAACTTGGTCTATTGTCATTTTTTTATTCATTCAAGTGCTTGATATTGAAAATGAGAGGCAAAATTAGAGCAAATAAATAAATAAATTTCGACTATCCTTATACTTATATTTGTTTAAAATATAGAACTAATATAGAAACTTAAAACGCATAATGTTGAGGGGCATAAAACGCATAAATTTAAAACTTAAATTTCTATTGATGCACTTTGCAGGATGTTGAGCACTTTGCTCTAATTATTATTTTCCCCTTATGATCATTATGTGTTTTTGGATATAGATGGAAGTTTTACAAATATATGTTTTGTTCCAGGGACCCAAGTATGAAGAGATAAGAGATAGATCTACTTGACTTGGACGGGTTCTGTAAGTTGATGGATAGAGAGAGGTGTTGTTCATGCTATAGTTTTATAAATAGCCTCTTTGATGAAATGTTCATCTCATTATTTTTAAGCTAAACAAAGTCTTCTTATCTGATTATTGACTTCTGATGAGGGTGTTTTCTAAAATAGATAGAAAGTTGCGTTGGGATAGCAAAAATATGGGAGTTCTAGAAGCATTTCATGTTTTTCTTTTGGATCTGGTAGAAGTAGAACACAAGTGTACATCCTAGTACATTTGAAGTTAGAATTTTGAGGTAAATATTTAGCTCTGCCCTTTCCTTTAAACTATATTTTCCTTTTCATTTTGTTTTCTTTTGTTGTTGAATAGTTTGATGAGAAATCTAGTTTTTGCATCAAGGAATTCCAGTATCTATCTAATTTTGTAGGAGATGAAGCTTCAATCTTGGTTTCATTCACATCAATTTTTTTTGGAAGGAAATCCTTTTTTTCTTCTATGTGATCTTTTAGTATACTTTTGGATAAATGTGTGAACTTCTTGTAATTTGATTCAAGTAGATTTAACAATCTTTTAAGCTTTTGTTATGTTGATTTTCAGGTTGTGTCATTTCTTTGTAATTCCAGAGCTGATTTGGAAATTGGGATTTGAATCTTTTGGGCAGCCAGGTGTTCCGTTAGTTTTTATATTTTCTCCTTCCAAATAAATTTCTTACAATGTATTATTGTTGTAGTATTCTGCTTTTAAATTTGTGTTGTACAAATTGTGAAGCCCAGGAATTACAAAAACATCAATTGGTTTGGATTTGAATAGAGATTTTTATAAAGAACATCTTGTCGTTCTAGTTACATATGGTGTGTATATCCTCATGCCAGAAATTCATAGTGGATTTTTTTGTGTAGTCTTGACGTTGCTGATCGATTCATGTTAACCGACCCCAAATTCTTTTGGGATTAATGCTTGGATGTTGTTGTTGTTGTAGTAGTCTTGACGTTGCTAGACTACTTTTTCTGTAACTGTCGTTTGCATTTAGTTTCGTAGTATGTATTTTGATATTGTGTACTCCGTATATACATTTTGGGAAACCAAACTAATAATACATTGGTGGGTTGTTTTTAAATAACCTACATAGCGCGTTTGCATTTTTTTAATAAAAAAGAGACTTACAACGTCGGTTTTGCGTGACAACCGACGTAATACATATTTTTATAAATTTTTTCAAATTACCTTCAACGTCGGTTTTAGCAAAAAATGACGTAATATGTTTTTTTTTATTTTTTGAAATTATATTCAACGTCGGTTTTCTATGTAACTGGCATTGTAGGTTATATTTAACTTTTAAAGCTTCACTTATAACGTCGGTTCTTTAACCGACATCAAATCTGCTTACCTTTTACGTATCTTACTTACACGTCTGTTGCAAAACCGACGTGAAAAGTATAAAATAACCGACGTGGAATGTCACTTTTGTAGTAGTGATTGTGAGAGTGCTGATTGGGAATGTTGGTTGA